TTCATGTGCTTGTTGGCCATCTGAATGTCTTCCTTGGTGAAGTGTCTGTTCATATCCTGTGCCCATTTTTCAATTGGATTATTCACCTTTATCTTGTTGTGGTGCTCAAGTATTTTATAAATTCTAGATATAAGTCCCTTATCTGACATGGTACTGGTACAATGACAGACACACAGATCAATGGAATAGAATTGAGAACCCGGAAATCAGCCCATCTATTTATGGTCAACTGATTTTTAACAAGGAGATGAAATCAGCTAGGTGGGGAAATGACAGCCTTTTTAACAAATGGTGTTGGCAAAATTGGAAATCTATCTGCAGAAGAATTAAACAAGATCCCCGCCTCACTCCATATACAAAAACCAACTCAAGGTGGATCATGGACCTAGGACTAAAACCAAGGACTACAAACTTCATTCATACAGAAAAACTTTAGTAGTCCTAATCCACAACATAAAGAGTCTTCCAAGTATTCTGAAAAATTTACAACCAGGAGAAGATAAAATAGATGAATGGGACCTTCTAAGAATCAAATCCCTATGAGCATCCATGAACTTCTCTAACAGGGTAAAAAGGGAAGCCACAAACTGGGAAAAAGTGTTTGGCTGTCTTCTTAAGAGATAGTAGATTCCATGAAGATAATGCCTTGATTAGATGATTTGCTTATTAGTGAATTCCTGGTCCTGAACATGATACCTAGAACAGTCGATGAGTATAAATGTCAATACTGGGTCAGAGAGTGTTTGTTTCTGATCATGGTGCCAGGAGATGCCCACTGTGGGAGGATGGCTTGGACAGTGCATAGCTCTCAGAGAAATTCATAAAATACAACCATAAAAGTTCAATTTCTCTTCATTAAATATTATGATTCCAGTTAATTCCTCATTCTTCATTCCGCAAATTCATCCATTACCACAAACACTGCCATCACAAGAAGCACGTATTCCAGAAAGTCAATAAACAGATGAAAATCGTTACAGGGAACCATCCCTAACAGTACAGGAAATAGTTGTACATCCTTCATGCTTGTTGGTAATCAGTGGAGGTTATGTTTGTTGTTTGCAAATATTTTTATTGACACTTGTCCGTATGCTCACTCACTCAAATGAGAGATGTTTAAGAGATTTCATGGATCATTTGATTTTGAAAATAACTCGGGGGCATAGAACAATGATGTACTCTCCAATGATGTCACCTATTGAATTACAGGCGTTCAATGTAACATATCTTGCCCTTTATTCAGATTGACTTCTGGAAACCAGACTCTGTCACACAAATCAGACCTCACAGTACAGTTGACTTCCGTGTCAAAGCAGAAGATATTGTCACCGTGGAAGATTTTCTGGAGCAGAATGAATTACAATATGAGTAAGTTCATGTTCTATAACTGTTGAGATTCTTTCTGGTGCATCTTTTTTATTATTATTATTATTTAAACCTCTGAATAACCCTAGAGAGGTCTAAATAACACCAATAGGTAGTGCTGGATCCTAAAAATAGATAACAGCAGAGCTGCCTCAAGATTAAGATCAGGCCAAGGCAATTTTGTGTCTAGTTGTTGCTCTAATTAAAATTATGTTCTCTCTTGAGTCCCCTATTTTGAACCAGATGTTTGATCCTACTCCTTCTTTAGAGGAGAGTGCTGGCGGTGCAGCCTGTAACAAGTAGAGTGGGTAACCCACAGGCAGAGTGTCTTTGCAATTCAAATCCACCAGCAACTCTGAAGGAGAAACACAAGAGGTCTCCTGTGTGATTTGTTGTTGTTGTTGTTGTTGTTGTTAAGTGTCCTCGAGTCGTAGGCGACTCATAGCAACCCTATGAATGAAAGATCTTGACATTTGCATGACTTTCATCTTTTCTCCAGGTTCATAGGGTTTCAAGAGGCAAGCTATTTATGGAAGTGGGTGCCACTCCTGCTTCCAAGCCTGTTTTAATCCGAGAGATCCACCAAACACTGTCCACCATGGGTAACCATTATCGCATTTGGCACAAGTAGGTTGCTATGAACTTGAACTAACTCAAAATGGGTATCTAGTTTAGAAGTAATATACAAAAGGCCGACTAAATCAAAGACTACTATTATCAGCTAGATTCCATTTAGCTCGAAATGTTACCACGTCTTCTTTTCAGGTGAATGTCCAGACCTAATATAATCCATAAGGACTCCGGATGTTCCTTAGCTTAAGAACTAGATAAGAATCAGACTGAGGAGTGATTCTGTCCCTTCATCCCAAGGTCTCTCTTTTCTCTTTGTTGATGGAAGACGGCATCTAGAAAGGAGCCAGAACAGGGCAAAGAGATCGACCCTCTCCATCTCCCCCCACACCTGAGGCTGAGAACAGAGCTGGCTTAGTTAACTCATCGCTCATGTTCTCAAATACAGTCCTTGCATTTTCAAGATGAAACTGTCCTTGTAACAGAGGCAATTTCCCATTTTCTGAGTCAGCAGACAGATGTTGAATGCCTATATATACCAAATATTGAACAAAAAAACATGGTCCACTTGCTTTAGGAGAAGACTCCCCCACCCCCCCAAAAAAAAGAAGTTCAAGAAATTATTATAATGTTAAGGAATTATAATAAATGTATTACATGTTATAGCATTGTTGTTGTTGTTGCTGTCAATTGCCATCGATTGCCTTCAGTTGCCTTCAAGTCAAGCACGACTCATAGCGACCCTATGAACAAAAGGCCTGAAGCCTCTCTACAACCATGTAAGAAACATTAAGAAGGGTAAAGTGGCAAAGGAATAGGTCAAGTTTAGGAAGTGAGGCTTAGCTCTGAAGGCTGAGTAGAAGTTCCCAAGGACAAGGAAGCCTCATGGTCCAGGCAGAAAAAGACAATTTGTGAAGGTGGGAGATGAGAGGTCCTCTGGAGCTGGAGGCATTTGTAGGACAGGAAAGGGAGAAATAAGGCCACCGATTCTAAACCAGAACACAGGTCTAAAGAACACAATTGGAAGAAGAAAGAGAAAGGGTTAGGTTCCAACAGTTCCTCCCATAAACTCCAGTGTCCACCATGCTTGTGGGGAAGGAAGATGGAACACGACACACTCAAATGCAGCCGTTTTCTCTTCATTTTTACATCTTGTTATTTTTCATTATTACTGATTCAACTTTGATTGCTGGCAAGTCCACTTGTGTAGAGGAGAAATGTCCCGCGTGTTTGCAAGCCTGACAGCTAGGACTCGCATCTGAGATGCCTCTAGTTGGGTTCAAACTGTCAACCTTTCAGTAAGTAGTCCAGAACTCAGCCATCTATACCACCCAGGAACTCTTTCTACATCTTAAAAGTCTGGAGGAGGGATATTTTTGTCAACAATGACTTCAGAGTTATTAGTTGTAAAATCCGCACCTCTATCAGAAGAAGCACCTTAACATAGTGCACCAAGTATATGCTTTGGAAACAAACTGGGGTTATCATCCCAGCTCTGTGACCTCGGGAAGGCTGCTTAACCTCTCTGAACTTTTGTTTCCTTACCCACAAAAACGACGATAGGATAAAATACTTTCAGCTTTGAAAATGAAGCAGAACTTTACTACTATGATTTACTAATATTCAAAGAGGAGAGGATGCACTTTTTGAGATAAAGCAGAAACGTTTGTACTTAACCCTGTTTTCATGCCTCACATTCTTTAGCTATCTGCTTCTACTCACAGGAAGTCCCAAAGTGTGACTAAAAATTGACTGTCTTTTTAAAAGAAAAATGCAACCCAGTCAGTTTCAAAATGTACTTAAGACCTGTGTCTGTGACATTTTTCTGTTTATAGTACAAGTGGATGATCTTCTAAAATGCTGGTCTTTAGCCACGTTCAGTAATATCCACAAAGACAATATTATCCTTTTCATTCTTTGAGAACAAAGAAAGCTCCTGGCCCCAGACTAACCCTGGATACCTGAATGATGTCACATCACAAGCAGTGAAAGGGCTTCTAGTTGCATGTCAGTCTCCTTTTATCAAGTGGAAAACTCAAGCCCGGTTTTAGTAGAAAACTTTGTGGAAATTGTGCATAAACGTTGTCTCTTCTAGAACAGGAAGGATTCCCTGAAGGCTAAGATCTTGTTAATTTTTGCTTCTCTGAGCACTGCTTTGCACATTTTTAGGCTATAATTTTCTAAATATTAAATAATAATAAGTCCCTGGAAATCCTGGCAAAGCACACCAGCAGTATCCTTGTAGGGGCTACAAACAGTCACACGCTCCCCACTATTACCTCACATGGTGGTAGCTCATTAGTCCTGAGACAGTTTCTTATCAGCAAGATGCTTCTGTTGCCTGCGTGCACCATGGGAACCTTGTACGGAACAAGTCTCACCAAAACAGCTTTTCAACTGTTTCCGTGGCTTCCTCCTTCTTCACCAAGACCTAACTCATTTGACAGCTTTAATCAAATACTGAATTAGCACAGGAGAAAAGTACATAACGTTCACAAAAAGAAATCCAACACTGTCTTTAAATGTCAATGCATACGTAAGTCTAGACCGGTGAAGAATCAGTCGCTGTAAATCACCATTTAACATAACTGTTTGGTGGCTGTCTGGTCGTCTGCCAGGTCCTACCATTCCCCTTAGCCTGTTTAGGGAGAGATGGATGGTCGCTGACCATGTGTAACATTGCTATCTTGTATCTTTCAAAGCCACATAGCAACCTGTCCTCAGACAGTTGTGGACACATAGTCCAGGAGTTGGCCAAATACTCCACTTTCAGGAATCTGGAATCACTCCCCTTCCTTCTCAGATTTTATGTTCTGTAGTTCACTTGGAGTCCCAGTTTTCTAATTTGTGGCATTTATAAGAAGAAAGGGGAAAAAAGGAAGTTGTATGGCTCCGTAAAAGGAGCATATAAAAGTATAAAATAGTGTACATGCCTCTAGTTTGGGGAGCTGTAATGAGGCTTCAATTATATTAAGAGGCATTGTTTTAATCTTCGAGAATAGAAGCTCATTATTTAATAATAATACTTTGTAAGAGAGCCAGAGTGGTACTCTGTCCTAAATCTCATAAAATCACAATAATCATCGCATTGGAAAAGATCATTTGAGGTCAATATTCAGCCTTCAGGCAAAAGTTGACAACACATTCCCGATGCATTCTGACGCTCCTTTGCAAGTTAATAGAGGATACTTTTACTCTTGGGTGTCACCTTAAATTTAACTAACTGGCTGTTTTAATATTCCTTTGTCCAGGTTATTGATGAGAACATTTAATATTTAACACAGAAATTACTCTGTGAGAATGCCTCCTGTAAGCACCAAGCAAAACTCACTCAACTCCTTACAGTTGAATCAGAACTGATGCATAGTGGGCCCTTTGGCTGAAGGGTTTTCTGAGGCTGTAAATCACACATGCAGAAACTGCCACCTTTCTTCTGTTGAGCTGCTGAGATTTGAACCACTATGAATCGCAATTGACTAGATGGCACATAACAGCAACGACAGAGAGGTTCAGCTATCGGATTACCTGTGCAGCTCAACCCCCTACAGCCCGTGCCACCCGACAAAACAAAACACTGCTCCTTCCGTAGTCAATGCTTTTCCTAAATCATGGGAACTTGAACACTGGATCCAAGTTAAATCTTAACTATTCCCTTCATCCAGAGGTGATTCTTACTAGATCAGAGATACTTACACTTACAGTCCCAGACACAGATGTCTATTTATCTGTGTGAACTATTTGTGGCTGTGTAATTGATGATTTCTTTCCTCTGGGCTTCTGCAAAGAAGTCATTTAACCTAGATGATATTTGACCTGCTCACTGACAATGGAAATTAAAATTCCAAACTCACTGCTATTCAGGTTGCCAGGAAGCTGATGGACTTGGAGTAGACCTGTCCCCACGGTTCCACCAGGGTCTTTCTGTCCTCAGAAACTTCCTAAAGTCCAAGCAGGTGCTATGTACCATGTTCTCTCCATTTCCTAGAATTTTTTTTTTAATTCAATCAGAGAACTTTATTACTTTGGTAGGATTTGTTCATTATAAAGAGGAAAATGTAATATGATTGGTTTTGTAAGAGTTTCTGCCAGTGGGTGGTTTTTTATTTCTTTTTCAAGATTTCAAAAATTTTTGGTTTGTTCTATATTTGTTTGTTTTTAATTATCCTTGAATATCATTTTCCATAGTTCTCTCTAATTCTAGCCTCTGTAGTTCCTCCATGTGTTTTTTTTTCTGGAGTTTATAAAGGGGGTAACTGAAAATTTAAGGGAATTTTCTTATACACTAGAAATATCTATGCAAATGGCCCAGGGCTATGGATTTTATTTTAGTCATTGCATATTAGAGCTGAAAATGATGTTGAATAGTGTTGTTGTTGTTGTTGTTGCTATTATGTGCCATCAAGTCGCTTGCGACTCATAGCAACCCTATGTACAACAGCCCTAAACCCTGCTCTATCCTGTGCCACTCTCATTGCCTCTGACACATCCATCCCGATTACCCCAGTCACTGAATCAATCCACCTCACAGAGGGTCTTCCCCTCCTGTGCCGTCCCTCCACTCTGCCCAGCATGATGTCCCTCTCCAAAGACCTGTCTCTCCTTACAACATATCCAAAGTATGTCAGGTGAAGCCCCAGAATCCTTGCCTCCAAGGAGCAGCCTGGTTTAACCCTCTCTACTATGAATCTATTTGTTTTCTTGGCAGTCCATGGTACATTCAATACTCTTCTCCAGCACCACAGCTCAAAGGCGTCAATTCTCCTTCTATCCTCCCTAGTCATTGTCCAACTCTCTGATGCATAACAAGTGATTGCAAAAACCATGGCCTGTATAAGGTGCACATTAGTCTCCAGAGAGACACCGTTGCTCTTGAGTACTTTAGAGAGGTCCCTAACCGCAGACTTTCCCTTCGCAATACGTTTTTTGATTTGCTGGCTACTGGTGCCAAGAGTGTTGACTGTGGAGCCGAGCAAACTGAAGCTGTGAACAATCTCAATCTCTTCACCATCCATCCTGATGCTACCGATTGGTCCAGTGGTGAGAATTTTTGTCTTCTGGACATTGAGCCTCAGTCCATATTGAAGGCTGCAGTCCTTGACCCTCTGCAGTAAGTGCATGAGGTCCTCCTCAGTTTCAGCGAGCAGGGTTGTGTCATCTGCATAACGCAGATTGTTGATAGATCCTCAAGCCATGCTTCCCCTCATAGAGCCCAGCCTCTCAGATAATCTGCTCTGCATACAGGTTGAAAAGGTATGGAGACAGGACACATCCCTGGCACACACCCTTCCCAATTTTGAACCATGCCCAATCTTAATTTAACACTGCAGCAGCTACTATTGTTGTTATTAAGTGCCTTCTGAGAACTGACTTATATTTGACCTTCCAACAGATTTCCAGAGGCTGTAAATTGCATGGGAGAAGGTCGTCCATCTTTCTCTCAAGGAGCAACTTAATTATCATGAAATTAAAACTCAGAAATTACTTCTCTATACAGCCAAGCTATACATTGGGCAAAACTGTGACTCTAATCTTTTCTCTAGGATTTCTTCTACTTCCATTCTGCTCATTAACAACTTGAGTATTTAATATAATTACAGTACTTAATAACTATTGTTCCTAGCCATAGCCACAAAAATAATGATCCTCCAAATAGGCCCATGTCTTCATCTCCAGAACCTATAAATAGGCTTTGCTGGCAAAGGAGAATTGAGATTGCAGATGGAATTCATTCCTTAAAAGAAGAAAAGAAGGCAAAAGAGGAGGGTACAGAGACAGGTAATGAGAAAGTGACTCACTTTTTCTGGCTGTGATCAAGCAGGCAGGGCCCGTGAGAGAGAAGTGTGATGGCAAGGAATGGATCTTCTCAGAAATACACACTTAAGTTTAGCCTATTGGTCCATGTCAGGGTGCTCTGGTGTCACAGTGCATAGTGCTTACCCTAAAGTAGCCCCTCCCTAGGGGTTCCTATCGACGGCAGTTCCTCAGAAGAAAGATAGGCAATCTCCTTCCACACAATTTACAGCCTCAGAAATCTGCTGGAGGGTCGGCTAGGAGTTGCTTCTAACTTAATAGCGGTGAATTTTGAAAGAACCTATGTTTGTCTTCGAACCTGCAGAACTGTAAGAGTATAAATTTGTAATGTTTTAAGCCTCTGCATTGGTGATAATTTGTTAGAACAGAGACCATAGAAAACTAATACACTAACAAATTACTGATGACTGCTCACCAGAAAGATGCCTTTTCACAGTATAAAGTTTAACACCTACACTTTTCCCTTTTAAAAAATGTCACTAGCTTAAAGACACTTTAGTATCTGCCTTTTGCTAGGCCTAAGATGTTGTTGTTGTTGTTGTTGTTGTTGTTGTGTACCATTGAGTCAGAACCGACCCATAACTGACCCACCAGCAGGTTTGCAGAGGCAGTTAACTGCAGGGGAGGAGATTACCCATCCTTCTCCTGAAGAGTGGCTGGTGGCCTTGAACCACATACCTTTGGGATTGCAGCGTAGCTTCTTGTCACTATGCTACCATATTAATATCGTGTGTTATCCATAAACGGACACAAGTTCATGTTCAAGTTCACCAAATGAAGGAGAAAATGTGAGGGAGGCTCAGAGGACACCCCTGGCCTGCTTTATCAGAGTGTCCTTGGGGCAGCCAAAGGGAGAGTTGACGTTTGATGTGCTGCTATGACTTTTCCGTGGTCAGATAAAAGCATTCCAAGGTTTGATTGTGTGTGATAGAAGCTTCTACAAAGTGAACTCTAAAATAGTTACAATCCTGTGAGCAAAAGCGTTGTGGTGGTCGTGGTAAACCATTGAGTAAAACTGGCCCATAGCTGATCCTCCGGCAGGTTTACAGAGGCAGTGAATCACACAGGAGATTATTCCTCTTTCTCCCAAGAAGCACCTGGTGGATTTGAACTGTGTGCCTTTAAGATTGCAGCACAGCTTCTTACCACTATGCCAAGTGCACTTCCTGCTCACAAAGGAAATTAGCACAGTAAAAAAAAAAAAAAGTAGCAAAGGAAATTAATCTGCATACACCTATACCTTGCCTCTTAGTGTAGAAACAATGCCTTTCTAGAAATAAGCAAGCCTTAAAGGCTCTGGCATCAATGTTGGTTTTTTCTAGCTACAGAACCAATCTTAGAGTCCTTTAAACCAGCCAAAAACAAACCAAAAGGAAACTAGTTCCTTAAATCCAGAAATCAATCATTAGCCTAATAAATCTTTGTCTTTCCATGTACCAGGATATTTCCTTAAACCAGGGAAAAGGCCTCAAGTGACCAACTATCCCAGTTGGCGTAAGACAGATAGGTTCTTGGAACATAGAACTGTTGAGTGCGGGAACTAAGGCATTAGGAGTCCCAAGAAACTTCTCTTAATTGCCTAGTTTTGCGTGGTAGCCCAAAGTCATGGTCTAGAATGCAGCAGGAACCTGTGGAGGCTACTCTTAAGCTTAGGATTCAAGGTCATCCAATATGTGAAGAGAAACTCACAGAAGGAAGAGTTCACATTGCTCCCTTTCTCATTTCCTCACTCTGTGTAATCAGTACCAGACCCCTGCGCAGCTCAGGTTGAAGGGCATCAGGGACAATTAGAGGACAACTTGATACTCCAGAAAGAGTATGATGATGTCACATCCACAGCTGGGTGCTTCCCTTGGGAGAGACTCTGCTGTGGTGCTCCATGACGCTGGGGTGTCATGCGCTTCCCCAGGGAGGGTCTATGCTATGTTCATCAAAGCCCTCGCTTTGGTTCATTGCAGAGTTCTGATCAACAACCTCAGATCCGTGCTGGAGGGTCAGTTCGATAGCCAGGTTCGCGCAACCGGACACAGTTATGAGAAATACAACAGCTGGGAAACGGTATGCCATGCACAGAATTTAGACATTGTTTTGAGACTTGAACAAAGAACACTACATTGATCCATAAATGGTTTGATTTGATAGATAGAGGCTTGGACCCAACAAGTGGCCGCTGATAATCCAGACCTCATCTCACGCAGTGTCATTGGAACGACATTTGAAGGGCGAAATATGTACCTCCTGAAGGTAATTGCTTTTCACCATGACCCTGCTACCTTTGAAAGTTTTAAATCAATGATTTCTAGCACATTAACATCTGTTGCACAGAGAGGCGTATCCCTAACATCGTCATAACTCTTTCCCTGCCTATATGCCCCAGGGAATCAAGCGGATTCCTGAGCTCCTCTTATCATATGTGGATTTTTAAGTCATTATTTTGATTTATTAAAAATAAAAAAGGCCATAAACTAAGAGAAGGCCTATAAATTAAACCACATTCCTGTAAGCAATGTAAATGATTGTCTACCTTGATGAAATCATTCCCTCCCAGCTGTTGTTTGCAAATCCGTTTGCTAAAGAGGTTCATAAACTTCACGTCTATCAGACAACATTACAACGCATGTCAACAATTTGTTTCTGTCTTCCTCAGCTGCCATCACTGGCGTGTAATTCTAATGAAGAAAATAAAAAGAACAAGGAATAACTGAGAATGAAGGGAAATTCTTAGGAGATTAGCAACAATCATGATTACTCCTAATTACTCATCCAGTTGACTTGGTCATGTCACCTATTAATAGTAGCTGAAAATAACCTCCATGCGAGTATAATTAAGCCGAGTAATCAAGCATCTTCTTGAAAATACGAGCTTGTCGAGCTTAATAAAAATAATAAACAACCATGTAAACTATCAGCTGAAACTCTACGTCTAGAGGGAAGAACATGGTGTGCTAGTATTATGTTTTAATTCAATCATGGACTATATCTCTTGTCTCCAATGAGAAGTTAACGTTAACCCATCCCTTCCACAGTACTCATTTTTCTTCTTTTATCTGCAATAGGTTGGCAAAGCTGGCTCAAACAAACCTGCCATTTTCATGGACTGTGGCTTCCACGCCAGGGAATGGATTTCCCCCGCATTTTGCCAGTGGTTTGTCAGAGAGGTCAGTATCTAATGTGATTTGGGACATAATCATTAAATTTATATTCACTGTAACCTAGATATAATAACTGAGCAGAACACAGAGAAAAATGCACATAATTACAAGTTCTCATTTTTTATATTAATTTCCGCTTTTACCAGCAAATCTTTCTGACAATATTATTTTCGTTAGCATGTTATATTTATTTGCATTTTAATTTTCTCAGCCATCTCTGGTGGAAAGCTAACAGGTGATATAATGTACTGGTTATTTAATACTTAATGGTGATAAGTTACTAACTTGATCATTATCACACACACAAAAAAGTGCAATAGAAAGTTCATTGCCAATAAGTCAGAACCAACTTGTAACTGACCTTCCATTGGGTTTCTGAGGCTGAAGAGATACAGATTCTTTTTATCCTGAGGAGTTGATGGTGGATTTAAACCATCAAAGAGATACGGCCTTTGCATCAGCAATACAACTCTCTACAGACTAAGGCACTAGAGCTCTTTATTATCACCTAGTTTATAATTAATGTAAATTTTAGTATATAACAAAATAGTACGTGATAATTCTTCCCCTTTTTTCTGGTTTTCATTCTCTTATTCTAAAAAGATATGTGGACAACTGTTAAATACTCAAGTATTATTAAATAAATATCCACATTATTGTTGTTTGACCAAAAACAATTAAAACCATTCTTGAGGGCCACAGATTAAAATCACCCATCTTTGGCTTGGTAGCATAACTTCTATCTAACAGGCCACCAGAGCTTTCTCTATGTCAAACATTCTTCTAAGAGGTATAACACTGGTCTCTCCATTTGCTGTACAGAGGTAACTCATGGTTGCTGTGATGATAAACACTGTGACACTTGATGTGTCAAATGCAATAATGGTTATCCATGGTGGACAGTGTTTGGTGGAGCTCCCCAATCAAAACAAGCTTGGAAGCAGGAGTGGCATCCACTTCTGAAATAGCTTGCCTCCGGAAACTCTATGAATGTGGAGAGATGATGAAAGTTATACAAGTGTTCAGGTCTTTCGTTCATAATGTCACTATGAGATCCATGATGGACATGCTAAAATTAGTGAGTGAAAGTTTTGAAAGAAATGAGACCTTTTCAGAGTTTCCAAGAACCTCCCCCAAATACCGATTAGTAAAAGAGACAAAATCTATAATGGAGACAGTTCATAGGAAAAACACTAACCAATTGATCAAGGTTGGTATCAAAAATAAAAACATAATACTACCATGTCCCCTTCCTATCCTACACTTTAATGGGGACATCACTTTTGTTACATCCTTCTCCAAAATACATAACCTCATTACAATCATAAAAATAAAATTTCCAAGTTGAGGAACAATCTGCAAAATAACCCAGACTATACTCTTCAAAAGGGTCAAAACTATAAAATACAAAGTTGTCAAACTGCCACAAACTGGCTGGGGAGACATAGGAGATATGGCAAATAATTGCTTTGTGAGCCCAGAGATTGTATCCTAGAACAGAAAAAAAAAAGAGCTTAGTGGAAAAAATGGTAAAATAGAAATAAATATTGTGGTCCAGTTGATAGTACTGTGTTAACATTAATTAATTTGTTTTGCTCATTGTACCATGATCATGTAAGAGGTCAACATTGTTAATATTGAGGAGTATGTACACAAGAATTCACTGTATAATTTTTGCAATTCTTCTGTGAGTGTAAAATTATTTCAAAGCTAAAAAAAATCTGTGCTTTAAGAATATAAGCACATTGTTACTGAAAATATAATTTATTTTATGATTCATAAGACCTAAAATCTCTTTTTATGTTATAATATTGATTTCTAGATTGTTGTTGTTGTTGTTGTTGTTATGTGCTGTCGTTGCCTGCGATGCATAGCAGCCCTGTGTACAGGTGTTCTGAACCCTGTCCTGAGCTGAGCCAGTCTCATTGATTCCAACACACCAACCCCCGCTGTCTCGTCACTGTATCAATCCATCTCACCCCGGGTCTTCCTCTCCTGCACTGTCACTCCACCCTCCCAAGCATGATGGCCTTCTCTAAGCGCCAGTCCCTCCTGGCCACATGCACAGAGTATGTGAGACAGAGCTTCAAAATCTTAGTCTCCAAGGAAAAAATTGGATTTCTAGATAAGTTTGCATTTAGCGTTGTTTAGCTTCAGTGGGAGCTCACCATGTTCCCTCTAGAGGAAGAGAAATTTCATAATTAATCTGATTATTAGATACTCACCAGTGTGCTGGATGTTAAAAGATAATGGTTCTATAGCTCCTTTAGTCTAAAATGCACATACTTCACCAGTTGTCACTTTAAACAATAGTTATAGTCACATAGTTGTCTTTGTTGTTGTTAAGTGCATCTATGTTAAGTGTGATTTATCCTGTACCAACCTTATTGTCTCTGACACACCTACTCCCATTACCCCAGTCACTGAATCAATCCATCTCATCAAGGGTCTTCCTCTCCTGTGCTGTCCCTCCACCCTCCCAAGTATGACATCCCTCTGCAAGAACTGGTCCCTCCTTGCAACATGTCCAAAGTATGTCAGATGAAACTTCAGAATCCTTGCCTCTAAGGAGCAAGAAAAATAAGTATCCCAAGATGATTTTTTTTTTACTTTAAATAATACCAGATATCACAAAAATATGTTTAAAAATTTACCTAAGGATGAAGAACAACAAAATGGTTCTTCCTTTGATGGTTGTTGTTGATATGTACTTTCGAGGGGAACCAGTTCAAAGCTGATACTCTAACAAATTCTCAGAGGCTGTAAATCATACAACAGAAGAGTGCTCATCCCGTTCCTGTGGAGTAGCTGGTGGATTTGAACTACTTGCCTTTGGATTGCTAGTGCAGCTCCCTACCACTAGGTCACCAGTGCTTCCTTTCACTATTGTTGTTGTTTAATGCCGTGAGTCGTAGACGACTCACAGCGACCCTGTGAACGAACAGCCTGAGCACTGTTCGTACACAGAGTTTCCAGAGGCAAGCCATTTTGGAAGTGGGAAATTATCACACAATGAAATAAAAACAATGGCTGTGTTGTGTAACACTTGGTGTTCAGAAAATACTGTCCACTAAGTTCATAAGGTCGCTATCATCCTCAGGTCAGTGACACTTAACAACAAGAACTATCACACGGTTAGTCAAAAGATTACTCTGATCAAGTCTGCATAAACAAGAACTCTTCAATTTATGGGGAAAGAACTCATTTTTTAACCAATACTTTGTAAGTGAGCCACTTTTCACATTGATGCTATAGAAAACACCATATATTTAGATTACTAGGAAAGCATTTTTTACCAGAATTTTTATTTCATATTTAATATGTTTCTGTTGTTGTTATGTGCCATCAAGTATACTTATTCTTAATAGAGCTTAAATGAACTGTCAATAGGGGAAATCAATTTTATTATTAAGGAAGTAAATTTTACTATTCTATATACATTCTTATAGCATTATGCATTTCATTTTTTTTTATTAAATTCTGTGTTGTGATGAATACACAGGCTGTCCGCACCTATGGCCGTGAGATCCATATGACTGCCCTTCTTGAGGAGCTTGACTTTTATGTCCTGCCTGTGGTCAATATCGATGGCTATGTCTACACCTGGACCAAGGTATAGGAACTATGTTCTAATAAAGAACAGAGTCGATAAAATTAAAAATCTACCACCCTCTATTATGATTGTCCTAACCATATAGTCTACTTTCAGAACCGAATGTGGAGAAAAACACGCTCCACGAACTCCGGAAGTTCCTGCATCGGCACTGACCCCAACAGAAATTTTGATGCTGGTTGGTGCAGTAAGTATCTGTCTAACCAGTGTGTGTGTGTGTGTGTGTGTGTGTGTGTGTGTGTGTGTGTGTGTCAGATGGGGGGGAAAACCCAAAGATTAAAGTAAAACAAAAATTTTGAAGAACAAAATTATGCCCAAAACAAACAAAAAAATGATTTACTATTTTAAAGGTGAGATGGATTGATTCAGTGGGGTAATCGGCATGGGTGTGTCAGAGGCAAGATTGGCACAGGATAGAACAGGGTTTGGGGCTGTTGTACATAGGGTCGCTATGAGTCGCAAATGACTCGACGGCACTTAACAACAACAACCTTTCTGAAAGTACAAACAATAAGAACTTTATACTTATTCATTCAATAAAAATGCATCACATGATCTCAGTTGAAAATACATAGGAATTACTAAATCAGACATGATCCCAGTACTTATGGAATATAGAATTTAGAGGAAAAAGGCTATCATACTTTGGGCATGTTGTTAGAAGAGGGATATCTTGCTTGGAAAGGTGAAAGGTTAGCAAAGAGAGGAGGACCTTCAGCCAGATGGATTGACACAGTGACTGCTGCAATGGGCATAAGTGTGTCAGAAATGATGAGGTTGGTCCAGGAGAGGACAGGGTTTAGATCTGTTGTTCATTTGGCCACTATGAGTCATACTTTACTTGACTGCTCATAATAATAACAACAAGAAGCTTAGAAACATGCCATGTGAATCTTATGAGCATATATCTACATACTTTATTTTATATGCATATATACTTGGGGATGATTATAAGGATTCCTGGTAAAAACATTTTTTTTAATTCTCTAATTTAAAGGTTTGAAATATACCCCGAAAGAACGTTGGTAGGAGAGCATCTGCCATTAATTATAATATATATTTTTCCAGAAATCGGGGCTTCTAAAAACCCTTGTGATGAGACTTACTGTGGATCAGCTGCAGAGTCTGAAAAGGAGACCAAGGCCCTGGCTAATTTCATCCGCAGCAAGCTCTCTGCCATCAAGGCCTACCTGACAATCCACTCCTACTCTCAGATGATGCTCTACCCCTACTCCTACGATTACAAACTCACGGAGAACAACGTTGAGTTGGTAAGTAGTCAAGATAACATATAACATTTCATCATTGGGGTTTTAAAATAGTAATAATAATAATAATAATTTAACCTAGAAAGAAAAGTCTAAAAAACTGTCTCTGGAATTTCATTATGGATTTTTTTTTTTAATTTTATTATTTTGTGTGTGTGTACCGTCAAGTCCGATCTGACTGGTACAGGAGGAGACTACCCCCCCTTCTCCAGCAGAGCATCTGGTGGACTTGAACCACGTACCTCTGAAATTGCAGTGTAGCTTCTTGCCACTAGGCCACCAGAGCTCCCTTATTATGGACTATTTTATAACAGAAGTAAGAGGGGCAAAATTCTAGATTTACCAGGGATCTTAAGTTAACTATATTTCTTTAGTTTGTCAGGAGAATTAGGATTTCCATGCAGGAAATGGCCTACCATGTGAGATTTATAGCTAATCTTCAAATTGACAACAGTTTCTCTTTCTTCAGCTTCAACACAAAACTGACTCACATGATAATTTCACATGTGTTTAGGGTAATCAACAAATCCCCCGACCTCACACATATACTTTGCTGTAGAGTCAATTTTGTTATGTAGACTTGGATTGGCTTTGACACTGGGAAGGCATAGCAGATACCGTCCAGAATGTTGTCACAGTTCGCCAATACTGAATTTAGCAGTGAAATACTAAACATGCTTATTCCTTGATCAGATAAAACACAGAAATGAATCTCTCAATAAACAATCTTTGTGACTAGGATTTACTAGGTATAGGGAATGATACAAAGGTAACTTAAACTCCATGGACTCAAAAAGCTAACACTTCCTTGAAGAATCAAGAAACAGTCACATGGAACTCTAAATGGTGTGAATTTTACATTTTACATTAACAGATTTATGCACCAATTCATGAATTGTTAAAAAATTTATAAATAAGCAGGTCTGAATTCTCCAGACAATATTTTTTTAAAGAATTTATGAAACATCTGGCTGCCAGAAGTTGAGCCCAACAATCCACAAAAGGAAGTCTAAGATTTACAGCATTATGAGGTACATCCAAAAAAGAAAAATTGTCCTAGTTTAAAAATGACATAGATATCTGGCTTACTTAAAGGCAAAAAAATTTGAAAATTCAGTAATTTAAAAAACCCCAGAAGTTGTTGTTTTGTATTATCAGGGTCAAATAAAACATGTAATGCTATAAATAAATATTTGAGGAAAAAGCAAAATGAGAAAATAGCCCCAGCTTTCTTTTAAAATTGATCATTAATAGTTTGTTTAAAGTAAATAAGCTTCCCATTTTCTCTATCTGTAGTCAAAATACAAAAGAAAATGTTAATTGGAACCATTAAATATTTGGTTTCACTCTGCCTTTGGTCCCAGTGGTGCTCACAGACCTGTCATCCAGGGATGAATGTGGTCATCTCCTCATTTTTGTCTTGAATGTCTTACTACCAAAATAAAAAATTATGGTAGTGCACTATTTATTTAATTCATGAATACATTTAAGAAGAGAAGGGGAAAGTTATAGTAATTAAACAATAACTTTTTAGTAAGGAAATTATAAAAAATAAAAGCTTAAAACACATTCTCATTGTCGGGAAGTCAGAACTGACTTATAGCTAACCCTTCCTGGGTTTCCAAGTCTGTAAATTCCATAGGAGCAGATTTGCCACCAGAGCTCATGAAATACATAAAGTTTATTAAAACCAACATACCTAGTCTCCCAAATACCAATATATGTCTTAAACATAAATACAAAAGGACAAAAATGACCAAAGAAAATGTTCTGCCCATGAAATGCCCCTCAAAGGATATCCAATCATCACACCTATGAAAATTCAAGAGCATTTATTAAATTCCATATGTGGAGACTTTTTCCCTCAGTAGGAAGGTGGCGAAGGAAAAAGCCCTGAGTTCCCCTGCGCAATCGTTTTTAAGGCTCTCCTGGGTGCCACTGTTGGGGCGGGGAGATTGAGAGCATGGTTGGTGGGCCAGGGATCAGTCATGTGGGTCAGCTTTTGATGAGCTGGCTACTTTGCCCGCCTTTACTCTTTTTGTGTCATGTAGACACTAGTTAATTCTTTACTTTGCAAGGATAGCTAAGACTCTATGGGGCATTTGTGTTTTCCTTAAGCTAAGAATTTTTATGGCCCGCTTCTGCTTCTGGTATTAATGAGGGTATATATAAAAAATGGGGTTTATATGGTCCCCTCAGAAACTTGATGTAGTTTTTAGAATAGAAACCACCACGGAGGTTTCAATATCTTTTTCGGATTTGGAGATAACGTTTTTTGGTACTTTTAATGGGGGTCCTGTGGAATGTTTGATTGTTTTTCTTATTTAAGCCTCTTGTTTAGAGTCAACGAGACCTCCTGGAGAGCCCTTGTATTTAAAAGTCTGTTGGGCCTAAGGGCTGCATATGATTATATTTTGGGGGAACATTCTTCTAAGTGGTACAGCACTTCTTCTCTCAATTTTCTGTACTAAGATAATCTGGGTTTGCTGTGATGCTGACCCTTGTGCCATTGGGGTGTCAAATGCCATAACAGATGCCCATGGTGGACAGTGTTTGGTGGAGCCCCCAGTTTAGGACAGGTTGGGAAGCAGGAGTGGCAACCACTTCCTAAACAACATGCCTCTGGAGACTATATGAATTTGGAGAAATGATGATAGCTATAGAAAGGCTTCAGGTGTTTGTTCGTAGTCGTGCTTGACTCGACAGCTATCAACAACAATAATACTAATATGGCTTTACTGCCCCACTGGTCTGTCTGGTTCTGTGGAATCCCCAGTGGACCAAATAGGTCTCTTCTGACACAGGTGAGCAAGAATTAACTTGATAGCAGCTCTTTTGGTTTCTGGTTTTATATAATGTCCTAAGAATATAAGATAATTTGCTGTAGACGTCTCCAAAATATCTTTGCAAAAAAAATCAAATGGATTCTGCCTCTTGAATCTTGTGGATAATGTTTGATACTTCCTGTGGGAATTTTATCCAGGAAAAGCTCCAAGAATAAGTTATTAGTGCACTTAATGGGTCAAGTCACATATGTCTGTCCCTCCCTCCCCCTAGTGGTAAAAACAACATCAGGCCGAATGTGAGACACTAATATTAATCATGGGAGAATCATTTCTTCATTTAAAGTCAAATAAAGAGAACTATAATAGTTCTCCCTTAGGTATAGTTTTATTTTCCAGAGTTTCCTTATTGGTAGTCAGGAAATATTTAAATCGTTGACAGTTCTGAGTCACATGAAATCTCCCCTCCTTCCTGGCGACTCTCTCCAGACTCCTCCTCCTTCACCTCCACTGGGAGGGAGCCTGGGATATGGCATCCGGCCAGGTGAGTCTGGTTAACTCTACCTGTCCAGGATACCCTGCGGACTTACCATAGGTATTACACATGTAGAGTGCCTTCCCAGCTACAACTTCAGACATCCAACGGGGGTCTTGGAATGAATTCCCTGCCCAAAAGAGGGGATTGCTATAATAGTAAACTCAACAATTCCTCCAGAAGAAGGCTTTTGGAGGCTACAAACTGCTCAGAAAGTGATTGTCCATCTTTGTACATTGGAACAGCTGGTAGATTTGAACTGCTGGAGAGGCATCACGTTTGGCTTAGCAGGGCAACTGCCATCAGACCTCCATGCAATAGGAAAAGAGAAACCATTGCAAATCTTGTCCTCCAAAATTGCTTTCACATTCTTATCAGCAAGGAAATGGAATAGCAGTGGTGCAGTGGTTAAGGGCTTGTTTGCTACCCAAAGGTCGGCAGTTGGAACCATCAGCTACGTCCAGGAGAAAGACATGAAAATCTGTTCTGTAAAATTTACAGCCTTAAAGGGAGCTCTGGTGGCCTAGTGGCAAGAAGCTGCACTGCAATCCCAGAGGTGTGTGGTTCAAATCCACCAGAAGCTCTGTTGGAGGAGGAGGAGCAATCTCCTCCTGTACCAGTCAGATCTGAATTGATGCTACACACAAACAAAATAAAATTAAAAAAATTACAGCCTTGAGAACTTCGGGCCAGTTTTACGCTGTTCTAAAGCTCTGCTTTGGGGTTGAATTCACTTTTAGGCAATGTGTTAGGAAAATAGTCATAATTAGTTCTCAAATGAAAAGTAGTGCAAACTATAAATTTATTTTATCTTAGATGTTTATTTTTGTTCTTGCAAAACTATTAATAAATTCAAGAAGTGTATACCACTTCTGATCTTTTCTAGAGAGTGATGTGACTGAAATGTAAAACTTAATTGCACTTGTAATTACTCATGTATCTAGCATACCCACTGAATTCAAAACTCACTTCAACTTCCAATAATTTATTTTATAATTAAACTTTTGCCTCTTGTCTTAAAAATATTTAATGCCATTAGTAAAATCTAAGATGTGTATCCTATGACTATTTGCTTCATTTAAGATTAAATATTCTAGCAACAGTGATCCTTTTATTCTTTTTCATATTTTGTATAATTCCAATCCATTTAAAAGCATAATCTCCTAGAACAAATTCATAACTATGGTGTTGTCATAAATATATACAAAGCTAAAAGATAATTTGAGTCTCTGAAAGAGGGAAATGTGGACTTTTTAGCAGTTTTTCTTTATAATGAATATTTCAAGGAAAACATTAAAAGCATTGGTCCAGGTAGATTAGATATTCCATATAAATCTAGTGCCTGTGTAGTAATTTATTAATAGAAAAAAGTACTGTAAACAAAAGATGGTAAAATGCTAATACAGTTAATTCTTGACATTATCTCATGTTAGAGATAATTCATAATTTTGGACATGTTGCAAGGAGGGACTACTTGCAGAGGAACATCATGTTTGGCAGAGTGGAGGGGCGGTGAAGGAGAGGAAGACCTTTGGTGAGATGGATCGATTCTGTGACTGGAGAGGCGGGAATAAGTGCGTTTGAGATGGCTAGGTTGGCACAGGATGGTAGAGCATATAGAGCTCTTGTATAGAGGATCACTATGAGTCGCAAGCGACTCGATGGCACATAACAACAATAGAGAC